CATTATCATTATCATTATCATTATCATTATCATTATCATTATCATTATCATTATCATTATTATTATCATTATTATTATTATTATGATCATCATCATCATCATCATCATCATCATCATCATCATCATGTGGTATTCCTCTTTTCTTGTCAAATGTAACTATTTTTATTGATTTTAAAGGAAGCAAGACGTTTTATATTTAAAAGTACTTACAAACTCAAATAAAGTGTCCTCTATAGCAATCGGCCAAGATGAAAGGAATTTAAGGTAAATCATAACACCAAACTCTTCTCCCACATAAATGGATTCAACTTCTCTCATCATAAGTGTTAAAAATCGCACAGTAATGTCAAATGGTTGTACAACAAGGATAACAATTTTGTCATTTTTAATACAAAATACAGGCTTCTCATTATCTAAAGTGTATGTAATTTTTATTTGCATATGATATTTGCCCACATTATGTGCTCTGACAAATACAGTGGTATTTGTTTGTATATTAGCATCTAATGAAGTAGGAATTTCTAAAAATACTGGCAATTTCTGTTGTGGTCCCATTGGCTTTAATGACACCTCAGCTAAAATGGATAAAAAATATAAGCACCTTGTAAATAAATATCGGCTACAACTGAAATTTAAAAAATTCTAGGAATATTTCAGAAATTCCCTGATATTTCTCTAATAAATCCAGATTCATGAAATTCCTTTATAATTCCAGGTTTTCCAAATACCCTGTACACCCTGTATATAGTGTATCCATAAAGTAACACATATTTTAGATAAAAGATAAATTTTTTTGAGATACATCCATTTTATTTTAATCACCTGGTGCTTATAAACATCTTATACAGGGTGATTAATTAACAATGGAAAAATGTAAAATGGTGACCATTGGCGCAAATATGCCTATATTTTTTGCGATTATTCTGAAATTATATAGTTAGGAAATTGAAAATTTGTGAAACTATATTTTTTTAAGCGACAAATAAGATACGTATTGCAATTTCAGCGTTGGTCATAGAGGGCGCCACTTACGACCAATTTTACCGAAAATTTAGTTAATAACTTTTTACCCTGTATGTCTAATATGAAACTCAGGCCCGGTCTGGCTCTTTCAGGGGCCGTCGGGAAAAATCGAAATCGGGGCCTATTTGGGTTTGTCTGTTATCATATCGACTCTGGGAAGGAAAACTGTCGTATTTCAAATTTGGTTATACCGAGATAATTGCATTTGAATAGTTGAGAAAATAATAAAGTTCGTTATTTTTTTATTACAAGAGCTAAATCGTTCTTCTTTAATAAAGTAATTATTTTATTTAGGTCTTGATTGATGATCTAAATAAAATAGTTTAGGATAAGAGAAAAATGGATTTTGAATGAGTTACTACAGTTTTAGTCGACAAAATTTTTATTGTGAAACAACTTGCTACACTAATTACGTACAGAAAAATTAAACAATTTCTATTTTTAGATAAAAAAATAATTGTTAATAATCAATAATGACATAAAAGGAAAATTTATTACGATTCGGTCAGTCATCTTGGTCAATATTACTTTCTTCCTGGTGGTCAGTCTTACTAGCAGGCTGAAGGGAGTTGTAAAATCCACGATACATCGGTGGTATCAAATTAGCCTTACACAGACCCAAAAGACCGCTTAATTTTTTACCATCAATTGGCAGCAAACCTTGATACAAGTCTAGTTTGTAAGTCTCGTTCTTTATGATTTTCTCCAAAATTATACACAAAAAATACTTTATTGGGAGACTTTGGATCGCATGGATTTCTCTGATTTTGCTGATTTATATAGCCTCTCCAGTAATATCTTTTTTCCAGTTTTGTTTCTTTACCATCGATTTATTAAAAGTTACAAAATCTTCTTGAGACATTTCTTTTACTTTGTACTGTGGGGCAGTAACTTTGGCCATTTTTATTAGACTAATCTACTGATCAGGACTATCAGGAGTGTATATAGCAGAGTGACGTTTTTTTGCAACTTCATCACAACATGCATGCTGTCATTTTCATTCTGAGTGTGGCCAATTTCAAGAAAACGGTTTGTTATTTCCAAATCCAAAGTCATTGATGTATAAGCATCATACATAGCAATAGCCTTGATTGCTGCCTAAGTCATAAATTGTAAAGTTGTATGTTGTGATTTTACTTTTATAATAAAAATCGCTGACTTCTGACTTGGGTGTTACTAACACCTTCTTATCAATTTTCGACAATTCTTTATCAATGTCTTTCAGATTTCGAATAGCGATTTTGTTTAAATTATAATTAATATAATCATCTTCTATTTTTTCTGTTCTCTTCTCGGGATCTGTATTCTTATAGGCACTACACACGGAACACTGATCTTTTTGGCTTAAAGAAAGCTATATTAAATTTCGAATTAAGAATATTCCTGTATTGTCTGAGTGTAGCTACTGCATCCCATTTTTGTTGTTTTGCATATTCTAAATACATTCTGTGCATTCGTGAAATACTCAAACTTTCTTCGAAGTACCTTCTTTTTGGGTTTTTTCTTGTATAATGAGAAGGCATAAGTGGAAAAAGTTTTATGTGTTCCATAATGTTTTTTATTAGAGCATCCGGGTTTTTTATGCGGCCTAGTGTTGTGTTTTCCTCTTCTGTCCCTTTCTACAGTACCACCGTCACCAATTTTTTGCAAAGCGGCGCTTACAACTGTTTCAGAAAATGCAAGCGTATTTAAGAACATCGTTTTGCAAGTTTGTTTCTCATTATTGTTAATGACAAACTTATAATTGCGAGAGAAATTCCTTTTGGAGTATTTATTATGTACAGTACCTGCTCTTTTTCTCGTTGTGTCACCCACCTTACAAGAAAATCCCACTTCAGAGTATGATCTCCAAGGTTCCAAAATTCGTCAAAAATGACTTTTCTAGCTTCTTCATTTATTTTTTTGTTGCATTTATACCTGCAAGTTTATTACAAGGTGATTTCATTACCTTTGCAAAAATAAGTTTGTCTTTACTATTTTTATGTAATAAAAATTTCATTCAAATTTTAATTTATAAATTGATTGTGTTTCACTAACGCAGCGTGCAACGCGCAAACGCGGCAGACATGACAGAAGCTATTTACATGCTGCCATCTGGATCGAGCTTGCAAGGCAAACTCTCCCATCTATTTGCAGCTCAAATTAAAGCTTATTAGTTATTTCAAGCACCATCTTTAAAATATTAAAAATACACGTTTAATATGCTTGCCCTTATAGTACTTATTCTGTTTTTAAATAATTTTTTTTAACAGAAAAAAACTCATTGGGATAGGTGACAGTAGGTATAGCGACGGTTTAGACTGGGAAAATTTCGGGGACCGTGGGAAAGTCGGTGTCCTTTGTCGGCGTCCTTTGGTCCTTTATCGGCATAGATCAAAGGTTGGCGTCGCATATGTGTTAATTGGATTTATACAGGTGTGTCCTTGGTGAATATACGGGGGATTAGCGGTAAATTATAATTTAAGATCAACAAAAAAAAATAATAATAAAATATATTGATAAAACATATGTGCAGAATATAATTTAATTTAATACCTTATTGCTTTAAAATATCTAATTGTAAGTCAGCAAAATTATAATTTGATAGCTAGAAGAGATTATGAGAGTTATCGCATCATTCGGTATTGCATCATTTGATGTAAGTCACGTGTTCGATCAATGCAGCATTCAAATTGGCGGTAGATTGAATTGGCCGAGCGGAGCGCGACATTCAAATTAGAGAAAATTCAAACTTGACGACGCGGTTTATCGCTGGGAAAGCAACATTAACGGACAGGTACAAATTGTAAGATGAGTGATTGACTGAGAGGGTTCGGAGGGTAGTTTAAATTTATATAACACGATTTAAAAGTTTGCGTTGCGTAGTCAGAATCTTCAGGGTACGCGCTGGTGGGAAATTTAAAATTAAATGTAATATTTAATCTCATGCGCAGAAACAAATGGCCGGGCATTATTGCTGGTAAATTCAAAATTAAAGGTAAAATTGAAACGCATATGTAGAAACAAGTAACTGGGCCTTATTGGTACTAAATTTAAAATTAAATATTATGACTCAAGGATTGCATAGAAAGGATTGACTGTGAAATTCAAAATTAAACACGAACAATAATAAAACTCTAAATTTCAACGCATGCATGCTGGTGTTCGACTTTGTGGATTTTACAGAAAATTCAATATTAAAGATCATCAAAATGTATTATGTATGTGCAGAACAATTTGTAACTGATAGCTTAATTCATTTAAAATCTATATGTAGCAAAAATTGTATTTTGATACCAATAAGAGAGCAGGAGAAGTTAATGAACTATAAACAGCAATCATTATATCATTCTATTTGGGGCACATGTTCGACCTATGCTTCATTCATGCATGTGCGGTACAATCTTGTCACCTGCTTCGTTATTTCCTATCAAATCACAGTATCGGCATACATCGTAATATGTTAAGTCAAAAAGTATAATGTGACATTTTATTTCATTTAAATTTTTGTCGGCATAAATTTTAATTAGATATCTTATAACTGATAGTTTTAATTCACTAACAGAATCATTTATCACACTTCTTAAAAAGAAATAACTTCAGAACATTGTTTGATATCGAAAGTATATACAGGGTCTTTAGTTTAAAGTGTGGAGATCTTAAGTTGGTCATTGACCTGGTCTAAACCGATTTGCAGTAATGTTTTAAAAGAAGCTGTTGGGAAAAAAATTATCATTACTTCGTGGTTGAGAACGCAGTTTAAAACAAGGAGTTTTATGTATAACACTTGATTAACTTATATATTATTTTAAACAAGTGTGTACCAAGGTCAGTTTAGCTTTTTAGAGTAAAACCAACTAAGCAGCAATTTTGATGACTTACGTAAAAGAGATTAAAACAGAAGACCTTGGAACTGCAGTAGAAATTACAGCAAACCTTCTTAAACCTTTGACGTAATGCATGAAATTATTAAGTTTTGTAAGCTCAGAATACTGTGAGAATGTTGTTTTTATGGAAGGGGGTTACACGGATATCTTCATAAGATTAATTTTTTGTATAGACACCGAGCTAACAAAATTTTGAATAGTGAAGATACAGAGATGAATGGACAAGAAAACAGTATATAAAATTTATACATAAGGCTTCGTCCGCCAAAGCGGGCCCAAGTGGTCGAGCGGTGACGTAGGCAGTAGCCGCGATTTTCATCTCAATTTTTAATAGTATTTAACGCGTATCAGCGTGCTAGTTCAAAACGCGGCCGAGCGCGTATCAGTAGATGGCGCTATAAGTGGAGCGCGGAATTAGTAATTAAATATGCGGGCATATTTAATTATGCAGACTACGGCTAAAAATATTTACTGGAATTAAAAGTTTCACTTTAGGAATGTGTGTGTGTTAAAATAGAACAGAAAGGGTCAATCCTTCTTTGTCTTAAATATTTATATATATTTCTTAAGTTCATATTAAAGCCCAATGACAAATTCTTTTATTTTTTAAATTGTATTGAAATAGAAATTATTTCGCTTAGGTGTGGTAAGAAAACCAAGTTAGTCTGTTTTTCAGACAGCTGTCTCAGCAAAATAAGCAAGTAGCCTGTTTCAATGTCACGATTATCAACTGCAGTCACTGCACTATATGCTGGCTTTCTTCGCGAATATAGCCGTGATTCTAATTAATAATCAATTTTCTAATTAGAATTATTATTGTCATAAATCAACGAGTCTGCTCTGCTTGTTTTTTATTAAAAGTTTCTTGGACTATTATAGTGAGTGGTGCTTTTTGTGTGTGTCCTTTTGGATAAAGAAAGGTAAGTGTATATTTATATTTTCAACATAAAAACGTAGCTTTGTTGTAGTTATAATCTTAAACAGCAATTAGATGAAATTATTTTTCATAGTAAAAAATTCTATAATTAATTTAAAAAACTATAATTTAGCTGATAAAACCGCTTATTAAATACAGCAAACTCACTTAAACGTTCATTATTTAACGAAAATAAAAATATATTTAAAGCCACCATTATACAGGGTGTTATTTTAGGAGTTGAGAAAAAACAATAGCTACAAGGTTTCAAATTATTTAACAACGACAAGATGGCGGCTAAAAATCTAAAGAATTATTTTTTATATTATTATTTTTATAGACAGCGGAAAGACAGAGAGAGAGAGAGGGAGAGAGCGCGCGCGAGAGAGAGAGAGAGATAGAGCAGCGTTGGAAAGGTATGAATGTTAGCCATAGAACGACAGAGTCATGGAGAAACAAGACAAAAACCCATTACTTCAACAGGAAAAAACAGACCAAAAAAAAGTAAATGGCATTAGCAGTAAATTAAAATATAGTGGTATATTAAAGACAACACTCACTCAAACGTTTATTATTTAACGAAGAAAAATTCTATTTAAAACCAGCATTATACAGGGTGTTATTTTAGCAGTTGAGAAAACAATAGCTACAGGGTCTCTATAAAAAGTTACAAATTATTTAACAACGACAAGATGGCGGCTAAAAATCTAAAGAATTATTTTTTATATTATTATTTTTATAGACAGCGGAAAGACAGAGAGAGAGAGAGAGGGAGAGGGAGAGAGAGAGCGCGCGCGAGAGAGATAGATAGAGCAGCGTTGGAAAGGTATGAATGTTAGCCATAGAACGACAGAGACATGGAGAAACAAGGCAAAAACCCATTATTTCAACAGGAAAAAACAGACCAAAAAAAGTAAATGGCATTAGCAGTAAATTAAAATATAGTGGTATATTAAAGACAACACTCACTCAAACGTTTATTATTTAACGAAGAAAAATTCTATTTAAAACCAGCATTATACAGGGTGTTATTTTAGCAGTTGAGAAAACAATAGCTACAGGGTCTCTATAAAAAGTTACAAATTATTTAACAACGACAAGATGGCGGCTAAAAATCTAAAGAATTAATATTTATATTATTATTTTTATAAACAGTGGAAAGACAGAGAGAGAGCAGCGTTGGAGAGGCATGAAGTTCAAAACAAGACAACAGAACTACAGAGACATGGAGAAACAAGGCATACGAAGGGTCAGTTGCTAGATTTTTCTGCATTGTAGGGCGTGTCGTTTGTACCCATTCAATACACAGTTAAATATGATGATGGCTTGATACAGGTACCCGTGGTCGTGTAGGGGTCTATCTTAAACGATTACCTAAGGATAATCATTGGATTTTTCCTTGCCAACAAAAAAAAAAAGGTTTCAACCACACGCGAAAAGCTTAAAATCCGTTCGCGAGCGCGAAAGGCCTTCGGGCTATCGAAACGATAAAAAAATGGCTGTCTTGTGGTTAGGGCAAATTCAAAAATATAATTGTTTGGCGTCATACCCTTAATGCGATTCAAACATCTCGACGGCATTGTTTCAAACTAAACACATCCGTTGTGGTGATAAGCGACTTGTAGGGCATAATTGAACGTTATAGGGTCTTTCCTTACAATTAAAAATTACTATTGACTCTTTACATTAAAAATATTCAAATTTTATTTAAATTTAAATATTTTTGCCACTATTTTTATTAAAGTACAGTTTTAGTAAAGTTTAGTTTGATGTAATTTTTACATAAAAAATAATTTTTTCTGATTTTTTATTATAATTTTTCGTGAAGTACAGTTTGATCTAATTTTCAAATAAAATAATTTTTCTACTTTTCTATATTTAATTTTCATAAATTAATTTTTAGTAATTTGCGGATTGAAACAATTTAAAAAAAATTACAAAAAAAACTTACCAGTTTGGCTAGGGGAATGCCGCAAAAGGGCCCAGAGGGTGACTGTAGAGGCAGGTAATGGGGTGGGGGTGGTTCTTTGATAGCCATAGGGGGCCTCATAATAATTAGTTGGAAGCGCCAGCAACCGAATTCCACAAAATATGTTCGCACGTATCCGCACAAACGAAAGCGTTATCTATACATACCCCTTGAAAGCGACAACCTTATCTTATTAGGACTGGTATTACAGACGCCAAGGGTTGTATTCTCCCGCATGAAAGCGGTACCTGTCAGGCTAATGTGAGGAAGAAAATCGACCAGCAACCCAAATTCCCATCTTCTTAGCCTCGCAAGCACCACCTCCGTACACCTCAACAGATTAGCGAAGAATGAACGAGTAACCGACATGTCTCAACTAGTAATTTATTACGCGTATAAGGTGTCGTTTCGTCATGTTTTACGTCACATTATTACGTTTTACGTCATGCTGTTATCACATTTGAAATAAGTATCAGTTTAAAAAGGTGTTGAAACATCTTCAATAAAGGTGAGTTTTAATTTTAAAATATGGCGTGTCGTATATCAAATTAAACGTCTTGATTAATGCAATAAAATAGTGGGTCTCATCGATTTTTTTCTTTTTTTCGCGATCGGTGATATGCTTGCCCAGTAGGTAGAAAGTGCTCACTATCTTTTCGTTTTACTCACATTCGAAATTTTATATTTTTCTCGTGACCTCTTTTCATGCATTACTTACCGGCACTAGTTACATGAAAGGTAATAACTATGAGCCCCTAAGGTCTTCTAGTCAGCTTATCTTTAATCTTTGAACTATTAAGAAATCGAGGTATCTAAATTTTTCATCATTAGAGATACCGTGAAGAAACTTCGTCGTTTCAGTCTACAAGGCGAGCCTTGGAATTTAAAATAAAAAATCCTCCGACCGGCGCAGAACCTGTAGGATGAATTAAAGAGGCCATCCAGCAGGCTATAGCTAAAGGCGTCGAAGGTCTTAACCCCGAAGACCAGGTGTCTTTCTCGTTTTGTTCCAATGACTTTGCCACAGGCAATGGTTGGGTCCGTTTCAAGCCCGCTAAAGAAGTTACCTACGATGACGTGTGGGATGTCAGCTCCGCCGTACACCAGTCCAACTCCTCGGGACTAAATACCGAGATGTTCTGTCTGGGCGTGATCTCTGTGCGGATGCCTATCGGGAAAGGACGCGGCAAGAATTACAACACCTTCGATGAGGAGTGTACCAAGCGGCNCATACCCCTTGAAGGCGACAACCCTTATCTTATTAGGACTGGTATTACAGACGCCAAGGGTTGTACTGTCCCGCATGAAAGCGGTACCTGTTACGCTAACGTGAGGAAGAAAGTCGACCACCAACCCAAATTCCCATCTTCTTAGCCTCGCAAGCACCACCTCCGTACACCTCAACAGATTAGCGAAGAATGAACGAGTAACCGACATGTCTCAACTAGTAACTTATTACGCGTATAAGGTGTCTTCATGTTTTACGTCACGTTAATCACGTTTTACGTCATGCTGTTATCACATTTGAAATAAGTATCAGTTTAAAAAGATGTTGAAACATCTTCAATAAAGGTGAGTTTTAATTTTAAAATATGGCGTGTTGTATATCAAATTAAACGTCTTGATTAATGCAATAAGATAGTGGGTCTCATCGATTTTTTATTTTGTTCGCGATTAATGATATGCTTGCCCAGTAGGTAGAAAGCGCTAACTATCTTTTCATTTTACTCACATTCGAAATTTTTTATTTTTCTCGTATACTTTTGAAACTTTTTTAATCCGTGAATCACGCCTTATTTTTTAATCAAACACATCTTAATCACGTGACCTCCTTTCATGCATCACTTACCGGCACTAGTTACATGAAAGGTAATAACTACGAGCCCCTACGGTCTTCTACTCAGTTTATCTTTAATCTTTGAACTATTAAGAAATCGAGGTATCTAAATTTTTCATCATTAGAGCTACCGTGAAGAAAATTCGTCGTTTCAGTCTACAAGGGGAATTTAAAATAAAAAATCCTTCGACTGGCGCAGAACCTGTAGGATGAATTAAAGAGGTCATCCAGCAGGCCATAGCTAAAGGCGTCGAAGGTCTTAACGCCGAAGAACAGGTGTCTTTCTCGTTTTGTTCCAATGACTTTGCCAAAGGCAATGGTTGGGTCCGTTTCAAGCCCGCTAAAGAAGTTACCTACGATGACGTGTGGGATGTCATCTCCGCCGTATACCAGTCGAACCCCTCGGGACTAAACACCGAGATGTTCCAAACCTTTGTGCGGATGCCTGTCGGGAAAGGACGCGGCAAGAATTACAACACCTTCGATGAGGAGTATACCAAGCGGCGTGGTATTGTCGCTATGACAATTTGTGTTTGTCCTGGGCACTAGTAGTGGCGATCGGTTACGTGAACAAAGACAAGGACCAAACCAAGGTGCGCCGCGATATCGGGAAGCTATAAACCCTGAGGGCCAACGAATTATTACAGGCGGCTACTGTTACCATCCCCGAAGAAGGTTGCGGTATCCCCGAATTGCAACAGTTCTAACAACATCTAAAAGACCATTGTATCGTCGTGTACCAGTATGGTACCAAAGGCCGCGACGTTGTATTCAAGGGCGCAGCAAAAGACTTAAAATTAAATTTGATATATCACGAGGACCATTATAATGTCATAACTTCGCTGACGGCTGCCTTCTGCTTTGAATATTATTGCGAGAGGTGCTAGGTCCCATATAATACTAAAAAAGATCATCGATGCGGCGGTACATGTCCTGCGTGCCAGCAGGCGCCAGCATGCTCCGAAGACATTGCCGTTACCTGTTCCGATTGTCAGCGTAGCTTCAGGGGGCAACAGTACTACGGTAATCACCTGACAATTATAGCCATGATTAGAAACTATAATACTCAATCATATCTTACAAGTTTTATTAAGGCCATCTAAACATCATATTACAATACATTTCACCGTAATTTTTACATTTACATTTTTAAATAAATTCCCTGAGGCTTTAAACACCGAAAACTGATCACGTTCTTTCACATGGACTGCGGCATGTCCTTTTCTACGATGCGTTTCCAGATGTAGTTGTAGGATTTGAATGCTTATTGAAGGGGGTCAAAGTCCATTTTAGACAGCAAGACAAACGATACGGGTTTATAACGTATATAACACGAAGGCTATTTAATTTATTGATTAATTAATACATCATCGCGAATATTTAGCTTCCTTATCTCTCTCAAAGCTTTAAAGTAGAATGCTGTTTTAATTTTCACGACTACCAAGGTATCATGTAGGAGTGGAGGGGGTATGAAATTAAACTGCGCTCGTGTTTTAATTTGTTTCTAGCATTTTATTAACGTCCTTATATATAAAATTCTCGTGTCACAATGTTCGTTCCCGTACTCCTCCGAAACGGCTTGACCGATTCTCATGAAATTTTGTGAGCATATTGAGTAGGTCTGAGAATCGGCCAACATCTATTTTTCATACCCCTAAATGTTAAGGGTGGTCCACCCCAAAATTTTTTTTTGTTGTTTTTTGGACAAAATTTAATTTTTTATTTTTATATGATGTGGCCTTAAAAAATACATACAATCCTAAATTTTCACCCTTCTACCATCAACCCTTATTTTTTAATAGCGATATTAGTAATTTAATAATTTTCAACCCCGCTCGATAACTGATCAATTATCACTTGATCATTTTTTTTATCCCCGCCAGGCGTCGACCGGTGTCACTTCTGACCCAGTAAACAGCACGGAGTAGGGATGAGATCTCTCTCATACAATGAGCCGTTTCTCACTCCCTACAGTTTTCGACCATTATTATTATTGTTTGTGCATCAACCATAATAATGACATTTACTATTACCATTCATAAAAAAATATATACACTGAATAACACTAAATATAATATAGATGGTAGAAGTGAAATTTCTTTATGAAAAATCTACTAAAATAATCCTAGGAATAATTTATATGGCAAAACAACGTTTGCCCGGTCCTTCTTGATACTTTATTACGTAGCCAGTTATCAAATCTTCGACCACCATCCTGACAGAGCTTTGTGGCTTTAAAATAGCCGGTATTCTTATCGAATAATCTTAAAGTCTCCATATAAACCATACCAGTATTGGTCTTGGATTTGGTCGAAGCAAACATCCTGTAGACTTGTCATTTTGAGGTTATTTAAATAGCTGTTATAAAGTACGTTTGAAAACTTTAAGCGCCATTTGAAGAATGAATACAGGTCTTGTGTTTATGTCTTTTTTTATATATATAACACGATGCCTGAAGGCTACTACAAGACTATCACACCGAGGATAATGTCTGAACTGAAGACGTCAAGCTGTGGATGCGCAGGCACAACTACAGGCGTAGGCGACAATGTTACTGAATTATTCCCATATCATGTAGCTTGTTGATAATATCACTACAGAGACGATGTTCTTTAGTCAAACGACACTCTTCGATATAATAACGTAAATCATTTATAAGATCGTTGTGGTCGAATTCGATCTCTCTTTCTAGCATATCTTCGCTTTCTGTTTGTTCATCATCATTATCCATGTTTAACAATTGGTCATTATTATTGAGAGGTCTGTATATATATTTTCTAATGCAGATACTGTCCTCGTCTTTCGCAATTGTTTCGCTGCTTTCTCCATATGATGATGTCAAGTGTTTATCTTTATGAACGGTCTTTATATGTGCATTCAAGCTATCTCTCCTTGTAAAACGGTCGTTACATAAATTACACTCAAATTTTTTATCTTCATGCCTTCGTATAACGACTTAAGCTGCTGCGACAAGTAAACGCAGCGCTACAGATTTTACATGTAAACATATCGGATGCTAAACGTCAAATAATGAGCTATACTTATAAGGTAACAGGCTAACCAACCGGCTACCAACCGGCTAACCGGCTACCAAACAGGCTAACCACCCGGCTAACCGGGTACCAAACAGGCTAACCAACCGGATAACAAACAGGCTAACCAACCGGATAACGGCTACCAACCGGCTAATCGGCTACCAGTCAGGCTAACCAACCGGCAACCAAACAGGCTAACCAACCGGCTAACAGGCTACCAAACAGGCTAACCACCCGGCTAACAGGCTACCAAACCGGCTAACCAACCGGCTAACAGGCTACCAAACCAGTTACCAACCGGATAACTATTTCCATGCATATATTACTGCATTTCTACAAATGGAATTTATGAAAGAGTACCCTGTATGTAATCATTGGCACTGTAGATGATGTAATGTTAGTTAAAATACTGCTTATGAAATTTGCTAAAGCAATATGAGAATATCCTGCCTTTATCATATACACTGCTCAGTATTAAGTGACCCTCAAGAAAACAC